CAGACCACTCCAGTTCATTAGACTTTAGTCTACCACTGAGCATAAACCAATGCTGCAAATGGTGCAAAGGCTGCTGGATGTATCAGTCTGATGGGAGTTGAATAAACTTTTGCACAGCCTGGATGATTAGGAGGTCTGTTCTCTGCACATAAAGGTACTAATCACACTGAGCAAAAAGATAAATGCAACATTTTGTTTTTGCTCCCATTTTTCATGAGATGAATTCAAAGATTCAGAACAAAAAAGGTTAAATCATTTCATCTGGACCAGTTTCTTTAAGTGAGAAATGTTTTGTCCTCCATCAGGAGGACTTCATCAGTCTGCAGCCTGCCAACCAGATCTGTCCCATGGGTAGCCTTCATTGCTGTTTCAAGCCAACCTCCTGTCTGAGTTTGCTTACAAACCTTTTTCTGAACCATTTTGGCCTTGGTTGTCCTCAGACTGTTTCTGTGAGTAGTTTGCCAGCTGGCCTAAAACTTTTGATTGCTGTTCATGATGCTTGATTGTTTTGGGTGGGTGTGCTCTGTTTGCATGTGTTAAAAACCTACTTCTGAGATTCCAACGGGAGGTTGGCTTGAAATACAGTAATGAAGGCTACCTATGGGACAGATCTGGTTGGCAAGCCTCAGACTGATGAAGTCCTCCAGATGGGGGACAAAACATTTCTCACTTAAAGAAACTGGTCCAGATGACATAATTTAACCTTTTTTGTTCTTATCTACCTGGATGATTGAGCTTACTTTTTTTTTCTAAGATTCAGACTTTTTCTATGTACACAATACGTATTTTTCTCTCAAATATTGTTTGCAAATTTGTGTAAATCTGTATTAATGAGCACTTGTTTGCTGAGATAATCTGCAAATGCTAATTGCACACTCCCTCACAACTAGCAACATCTCTTGCATTGTGCTGTGTGATAAAACTGCACATTTCAGAGTGGCTTTCTATTGTGGTCAGCCTAAGGCACACCTGTCTAAACAGCATCTTGATATGTCACACCTGTTAGGTGAATGAATTATCTTGGCAAAGGAGAAGTACTCAAAAACTTTTCCTCCTGATGTACTCCAGGAATATAGTTGTTTCATTCCATATAATGGCTCTGACATTTACTGGTTCTACTGGTCCTCTACCTCTCTTTGTTCTCTTATGGTGCTTTGCCACTGTCTCAACTCTCACCAGCTCTGCACGACACGGCACCAGTTAAGGGTCTCTCCACTGTTGGTATTCACCCCACTCAGCTCGGTTTATGCGACCACCTTGTTTGAGGTACCAAGCAGGCTGCTCCAAGGGGACGATTTTGACGTAAGCAGACAGCAGACATTGATCGGCCAGCAGCACTATGTCAGTGGATGACCTGCCCAACAAAACTGCAAACTACATCTGAATCGCCACTTCTTCACTTTGTTGACCGACAGACAATGCTACAAGAAATGAGCACATTTACCAAGAGATATTGGAGATGGTGGCACAGCATGGCCCCACCTAGACTTATACGCCGTGCCGAGATAAGATAACAAAATTCAAGTCAGATTATAGGATAATTAAAGACCACAAGAGGTGCAGTGGCTCAAACACTAAAAATACCATTTACAATCCTGCCCACTTTGTATCAACGATCCCGCCCACAGAGCAGAGAAACAGGTCAGCCTCCACTGTAGCAATACATCACCTACACCTGAGAAGAACCGAGAAAAGGAGAGTCGAGTGGAACTGCACTTACCAATGGCAAACCAGCATAGGTGTATAGTTTCAGACTGCACTTGGGCATGACATGATCCACACCTACACTAAAGAAACTGACTAGTACAAATGAACCAGCTGCTAATGGAATAGACACACCTGGAGTGATTAACCCAAGGCCGGACAGTCCTGACAGTGAAAGATCCTAGACAGGGTAATTTCTGTCCACCCACCTACCATTCACCTAAAGCTCCTATTAGACATTAGAGAAGCTGAGCTGAATAGTCACATGGGTCAGTCCCTGAGTGAGGCACAGAAGGGAATTGACACCAACACCAGGGGAGCCAAATACCTTCTACTGGTCATCAGTACCATAGCTCAAGACTGTAAGACCAGACAAAAAAATCCCGTGTACTGCCTGAATTGACTACAGAAATGCCTATGATTTTATACTCCACATATGGATACTGGAGTGCTTGAAACTATACAACTTCAACAGGACACCAAGCACTTTCATCAATAGCTTTACTGGAATTGGAAAACAACACTAGAGGCCAATTCAAAGTCATCTGCACAAGTCAGCATCAAATGTGACATATACTAAGGCGATACTCTGTCCTCACTCCTGTTCTGCATGGCCCTGAACCCCCTCAGCCAGATCATTGCAAAGACTGGCTATGTTTTTTTTTTCTTCTTCTTTCGGCTGCTCCCTGCATTAGGGGTCGCCACAGCAAACTAAGTCGCATGAAGACTTGGCAGTTATTTTTATTGAAGCCCCATGATAAGTGAAATACCACGAAGTAGGAATAGTAAGTAGTACAGGTAGTAAGTAGTAGTTTATTTTAGTATTTATTTACATTTTAAACCCTTCCTTCACTTTTGCAATATTCTAAACCATGTTTTTAGAAACATGGTTTAGCAGTTAAGGTTTAGACCTTAACTGCTCTAAAATAGCACGTCATAATTTCAGCTCTCTGCCAGCCACGCCCACTTCTCAGCTGCAGAGCGGAGATCAGCTGATCAGCTGTAGGAGGGAGCTTCTCCCACAGCTGTGGGATGCACACAGGTGTACAATACTTTAAAATAACTTATTTTAATTAAAACATCCATGCTGATCTTGCGGCCCATCCATCAATCAGCCATTTGTCTGTCATGTCCAATCTTACTTTGAAAAGCCGTGATAGAACGAGTCCATGAAAAACGAACTGCGTAGTAATATGGTGATATTATTTACATGAACGCTCCTACAAGAACCCTGCAGATGTTGGATGCTGTCTATCATGGTGCACTAAGATTCATAACTGGCTGTGATTATCGTACCCACCACTGCACCCTGTATTCATTGGTTAACTGGACATCATTAACTTCACGCAGACTCTCTCACTGGTACATTTTCATCTTTAAATCACTTCTTGGTCTGTTGCCTTCATACATCTCCTCCTACATGTCTCTGCGTGAGTGCAGCTACGGAGTGCGCTCTCAGGACATTATTACCTGCAGTGTTCCCTCAGTGAGGACTGAACTAGGCAAAAGGGCCTTCTCCTACTCCGCTCCTGTTTCCTGGAATATCTTACAAAAAGATTTGAAGCTCTCGACCTTGACCTCTCTAAGTGGCTTTAAGAATCTGTTGGACTCCTGGCAGGGACCAATGCAGACATGTTCCTGTTTTTAGTTTTATACATTTGTCTCGGAATCTAGCTGTTTTTTTTTGGTTTTGTTACCTTTTTCCTTTTAGCCATCCTATTTGTTAAAAAAAAAAAAAAAAAAAAAAAAAAAACTGTAGTATGAGTTTTTATAACTGCTTATTGTTGTTGCTGTTGTCCATTGTTGTCATCTTTCTTTGTTGAAATCAGGTCTCTCTTGTCAATGAGTCCTCGAGGCTCAATGGGATTTACCTGTATAAATAAAGGTTGATTGATAGTAGCAAGGGACTACTGTACTGTACAGTACAGACATGTTTTATTGTCAAAATTATATAGGTTTAAGAGTTTAGAATTTTTTGCAATACTTTTTCATTGCAAGAGTGTGGGAAGGGCTTAATAATAATAATAATATTAATAATGCCTTAAATTATATATAAATACTAAAACAAATACAGCGTTCCTACTTTGTGGCTTTTCACCTATCGCTGGGGTGTGTGGAACATAACCCCCACAATAATCGAGAGACTACTATATATATATATATATATATATATATATATATATATATATATATTAGGGATGGGGCAGATCCGATCCAGTATCGGTATCGGCATCCGATGCCAGCATAATTTACGTATCGGATTTTCCAATCCACCTGCCGATATTTCCGATCCATGACGCATGTTGGCTTCAAACTATGGAATGGATTTCCTGAACGGCGGCGTGTCTCATGAACCCAGAGTAATAAGACCCGCCTCACATTCAGGAAATCCAGTTCATAGTTTGCAGCCAGCTAAAACGTGAGGACTTAGTTAACAGCACTATGGCTAACGGCTAACCAACTTTTCATCTAAACATGTCCGCTGTGTGGAAGTATTTTACACTAAAAACACCACAAGACAGCATCGTGCAATGTCTGCAGAGCCATAGCGCCACATTAAACCACGTTAAAGTTAGTTTTACAATGGACATTCGAGCTCCGTGGCTTCAGCGGGGCTGTACTCTTTGGTCAAACTGCAAGAGGCGACTCGACACTGGCCAGCCGCGTCCAATCTGCCCTGCTCAGTCTGCCCGTCTCTGAGGAGGGACAGACTGAGCGCGGCTGCCCTAAATCAGGATGCCTGCTTAGGATTGAACAAGAAGAAGACGTCGCTGAAACCACGGAGCTCAAATGTTTACCTAGAAGTTGCTAAACTTCATCATAATTAATGACCAACCACTATCAGTTGTAGAAAACGAAGGATTTTGCAGCTTGATACTTGCAGTCAAGATATAGTTTACCTTCCAGAAGATATTTATCAGTACAACAGTAGACAATCATAAAAAAACATGATTTGAAAATTATATATTATAAGAATAGATATGTACATATCTATACATACACTTTCGTGGGGATTTTTGTACATTTATTTAATAGGCAAATTTCACACCAAATGTTAATGAATTGTAAACATCTGGCAAGGTTGTGTCCTTGCCAGTTTATTAGCTATAAACTAAGTTTAGTTTATAGCTAATGTTTCTTTCTTGCATTTCTTATGACTTTGTCATCAAATTATACATTTTATAAGTTTTGTTAAATACTGTACAATAAAAATTGAGAATGATCTAAATGTTTATTTTGGCATTATCCTTCAAGTTCTAAATTGTGCATTGTGCAGTAAGCATGAATGGGATTACCGGAAAGACATCCTCTTTAAGGATAATAATTTTTGATGCGTTGGCCATTACACTTATGATGCCAATGGAAGCACCAATGTCAGCAGTTTCATCTTCAGAGGCAGCATTTAAGATAGAGCTGTTCTTAATTCCTTCAAAAATGTCCTTTGCCACTTCTTGGGTAGCTCCAAGTCCATTCAGGAAGTTCTAGGGGAAACAATAAACAAACAAGTAAATTATCTGTATATTAAAGAACATGCAAACAATCCCACTAAGTGACGAAGAGTTGGCCTCAACATCTGTAACCAGATGGAGTAGTTTTTTCTGAGTTAAAAATAATGTGAGCATCATATGTTGTGAATACAAGATTTTATAAGTTCCATCTGTCTGTCCGTCCGTCCGTCCGTCCGTCCATCCATCCATCCATCCATCCATCCATCCATCCATCCATCCATTATCTTTACCCACTTCTTCCTTTACTAGTTGTGAAGGTCACTGTTGTCCATGTCCAGCTATCACTGTGCTGGGGAGGAGGGGACACACACCCTGGACAGGTCTCCAGTCCATCACAGGGACACATAGAGACAAAACAATACAAACAACCTCTCTCACTCACACCTAGGGACAATTTAGAGTTACCAGTCAGCCTAACATGCATGTTTTTGGCCAGTGGGAGGAAACTGGAGTACCTGGAGAAAACCTACGCAGCACGGAGAGAACATGCAAACTCCACCCAGAAAGACCCCAGCCGGGACTCGGATCTGGCGACGTTTTCACTGAGAAGCAACAGCTCTACAAACTGAGTCACTGTGATGCCTCTTCATATATATATATATATATATATATATATATGTATATATATATATATATATATATATATATATATAT